TTTTTTGAGCTCATTAATTTTATTGAAAACAGGCGTATTTACCAACTGATACAAATAAACATGTAAGTTGGTTAATATATGTCCGTCTGATCAAAAAACAACGGTTTTTAAAGCACGGAATGCACTTTTGAGGCACATCGCAACGGTTTAATTACAATAATGCATGCGACAATAAGTACATGTCTCCTCATTGAAAGAAATTATGCAGAGCGATATCACGTTGACGGGATTTTTTCAAAGAAATAAAAACACTTCCACCTAACGTTAAACCATTTCCGTCGATGTTAAATCAAGTAAATGATCGTTTGATGTGGTTAAAATACAACGACATAGTTTTCATCGTTACGGATGACTGAGGATTGAAAGATAAATTGACGTACGATTGGAAATGAATTAATGATGTCACGTGTCACAAATAGCTCAATGCAAAGTACATGTTTGAATGGAACAAAACTGAGTGGTCTTCGCAAAACATTTCAAAGACCAAAATCTCAGAATATTCTAATAATAATTGAAAATTACAGGACGCGTTGTTTTTGAAGTATAAATGTGTTAAATTATTTAAATTTGGCATTTCTTACGAGGACTTAAAATGTTATGATACGTTAACGATGGAATAAAAACAAGACTCCCTTTCCTGCGCAATTTGCATCCATCTGACATATAATTACGTGGGCACCTAGTGAAATAACTGATAGCAGAAAAAAATCATTAATTGTTCTTTTAATTTGAGTGTTTATTCACTTTATTGTAATTAATTAGTTGCCTTTAGATTATATCCTCACTTTTCAACTGTTTGATAATAAAATGATTTTAATTAATGGCACGTTATTTATGCTATTGAATTTTAAATAATTAAATCCAACTATGAAGCTACCGTGTTGTTTTGGTCCTCTGTATAAACATTATTTAATAGGTTGTGGATTGAAAAAAATATATAAAAAGATATAATTCTATAATATCAAATGTTTAAGAATTAGAATTTTCTTTCAATTTGAAAAGCAACAGTTCGAAGGTTAATATTTTATGCCCTACCTTCCGCATGGCGCAGTGGTTAGCGCGTCTGCTCTAAGAGTCGCGAAGTAAGGAGATGATCCTTACGACGCGGGTTCGAATTCCACTGTGGGAAGTGGAGACTGCTCCTTCGGATGAGACCGTATAAACCGAGGTCCCGTGTCGCAGTAGGTGCTGACACGAAAAAGATCCCTCCCTGCTCAATGGCCCTAAATGCCGAATATAGGACAAAAGTGGCAGCTCTCCACCGGCAAGTGCTGGCCTCTCCATATGAATGAAAAATTCTCGAGAAGGACATCAAACAACATACTATCAATCAATCATACGCCCTGTTCATTAGTCTGTGAAACTTGCAGTCGGCTTTTCATTTTGGATAATAAGAGGCTAGAGACATCGAGCAAATTCAACAATTTTTGTCTTTTCGAATGAGGCTGAGTTGGTTTGCTTGTTTCTGATTAATACATTTACATATACATGTTAAGATTAAACTACCATATCAATATACATGTACACTAAATCGGAATCGGCATTCGTCCTAAATTGATTTGGAGTTTGGTAAGGATTGATTTTAACCTTATTAGTTAGGTAAAACTTTTTTTATTTATAAGAAACCTTTGCCGTTTTTAACAACATTTTTAAGAGTTCATTTCTGATCTAACATTTTTGCAAATTGACTAAATCAAAGAGAGATAAAATTTTGAATTTTTTCCCAAATGTTTTGCAAAAACATATTGAAAGGAAAACTAAAATTTGACAAACTCATATAGGTCATTCATTTATTGAAACATTCTTTTGTTTGTCTACATTTTCAAGATTGAAAATCTTGAAAAAAATATTGAGTTGTTTTAATAATTAAATATTATCAAAAGAAATTTATTCATCTTGCCTTAATTAAACAGAATGCACCTACAGAGTTTAATACCAATCACAAAAGAGGGTAAGTGCATTAAAGTCCGAATAATGTAATAATACTTCAACTTTGTACACTGTCTTGTAAGAAATGCTTGTAAGAAATGCCATAATGATAATGATATATAATTGTATATAAAAAATTAATATCTGTCTACTAGACTCTCATAAAAACACATAAATTCTACGCCCAGGAACTATTGTTTCCATTGAAACTAATATATATGTCTTCGAGGTCATTTTGCGCTAAAAATTAACACATCTTTTTTTCCCTGTTTATGCCAGGTTTTCACACAGTAATGATTATGCCACTGGCCAGTATACGATAACGCTACTGGTTGGACAGTGTTTTGTTTTCATTAACCCTGTTGTATATTTTCTTAAACTTACAAATAAATCCCGCTTTAAAAAAGTATTAATGGTAAAAAGTAAACTAATTTTAAGTTTAAGCTGTTGCTTCTAATTTATCTCGATGGGAGAAAATCTATTGATTTTATGACAGGTCCACTGTTGTCATGAACTAATTTTAGTATTTATCCAAGCAGGGAAATGCATAGTACATGTAAAAGAAATATCAAGCTTAAGATTTGTAAAATAGACCCTAATTAAACACAAAACAATGTTAGACTATTCTTTCAAGAAAATAACATACTGGCATAAGGTTAAACTGTTTGCCTTACTTAGGTGTGGTTGTGGGAATGGAATATACTGGAATTAGGCCCTGTATACAGATAAAGAGTTAGGCAAGATAGCTAATGTAAATAGGCCCTGCAAAATACATAAAAAATGAAGCTTGTGTATCCTCATGTGATCACTACCCATGTTTATTCATTAAGTTTTTGACCCAAAGTCTTAGGGCGGACCCAAGCTTCGTATGTTGTTATGCAGTACATGTATCAAAACCTACATGTATGCCGTATCCGGAAAACAAGCAATTTTCTTTCCTTTCACTCGGGTGTTTAAATAAGAATTGCAGCGGTTTTCGCGGTATTTAGATTTTAATCTTCTTCAAAATTGTTCTGCGGCTTTTTCCAAAAGTCTTTGACACTTTCAGAGATAAATGAAAATTCAATAGCTCCTCTGGCATTTCTTTCTAAGAGTGATTTATAACAAAGATGGGCTAAATTCTGACAATGCTATAAATCTACACTTTGAAATTTGTGACAATGCATAGGAAGGCAATCACGCCAAGAGGGATATTGATTAAAGAAATGTACACTTGTTTTTATTTAATTAATGTCACTGATGTCACTGATTTTTATCAGTGTGAAATAGCATTTTAAGCAAAATCTTTTAAAATATCAAAAGACTTTAATATATGATTGAGACTCGCTTTCCCGCTTATTAGTAATATACTAGTACTATACAGGTATATTGACAAGTAAATTGAAAGTTAGCTGCCGATTTTCTAAAGCTTAAATGACTGATTTTTTTTATCAATGTGAAATAGCTTTTTTAAAATACTAATAATCTTTTTAAATATCAAAAGAACTATATCATTGAGACTTGCTTTCCTCCTCATTAGTACTATACCTATCCAATATACTATATATTGACAATTAAATTGAAACAACTTGTAGATTTTCTACAGCTTTAATGACTTCGGAGGGCGTTGCTTGCGCTAACAAAAAAGTGAGACATTTGAAATCGTCACATGGAACTAATATGACGAATACCGTTAAGTATACTTATGTACTGATCCAACATTTCAAATATCTTTGAATTCAATTTAACGTACCAGATTCTAAAAATCAAAATCTACATTTGATGTTGTTGGTATAGGAAAAGTGTAACGTAGCCTGCGTATAGTAATTGTTTTATCCATATTGAAACTGAGAAGTTAGCCAATCTCTAACGAAGCAAGGATAGGAGTTGTAATAGAAACAAACTGCAAAAATCATCTTGTTTTAAAATAAAAACCATACATTAAATCTGTAGTTTCAAATAACAATTAAAACCAGATATATTTGTTTTTTACCTGTCGCGTATGTTTTTACACACTTTACAGTTCATGACCATTCCGGATATAAATTTACTTTATGAAACAAGAATACGAGTAGGGATATATATATATAACTGTACTATGTAACTTTTTATGATTGATTGTACATATGTATATTGTTTAACGCCGAGTCGGGAATTTTTCAGCCATGTTTCGGTGGGCTTTCTATATGGAGAAATCCAGCATACTTGGACAATTTCCCTGGCCAAAAATCTTTGTAATGTGAAAAATCTAGTTATCCCCTCCGTTTATAGTCTTTCCATCGTTCTATCAGTTAAAGCAAGAAGTGGTCCCCTAGGACCCACGATATCGACCAGTCAAAGACCAAAGTGTTTATTATTGAATAATTTCAAGGAAATAAACAGATGTGTCATTTTTCTTTCGCTGGTCTATTGGTTACTTGTATCATCCAGATGGTGGTAGGCGAATTAAAGGAAGAAGAAACGAAATTTAAAGTACAGACGGACACATTTAATTAAGATAGTTATAAATCAGCTATGTTTGATTATTGTTATTTTTTTTAATATTTCATTTTTGCAGATATTGTTAAAGTTCTCTTTAAAAAAAATCTAAAAGGTACCAAAATAGGAGCAAATTGTCATTACACACTGACCAAATTGAAAACAAATAGTACATGTTCATAGTATGTAGATTTAGCCATGTTTAACATTGTAATGAATTCGATTATAATGTACATGTATACTGCTTGGCCGCCCGCGTGGCGCAGTGGTTAGAGCATCTCCTCTAGATTCTCAAATTAGGGAATTCAAACCGATCCTTACGCCGCGTGTTCGAATCCACTTCGGGAGGTGGAGACTGATGAGACCGTATAAACCGAGGTCCCATGTTGCAGTAGGTCCCAAGATCCCTCACTGCTCAATGGCCCTAAGTGCCGAGTGTAGGCCTCCACCTTCATACGAGTGAAAAATTCTGGAGAGGGACGGTAAACAGTTATAATATTATGACATAATATTATATCATCAGGGTGACCATCTCACCTTGATCTTGTTACAAGATCATAATGTAGCCATCTGACATTTACATTTTGTCTGGATATAGATTAGTTTCTACTTACAGCTCGGTGACATTGGCCATTAAATCTGGATCAATTCGAGGGATACCAGAAATCGTATCTTTCTTTCTACACTCCATCACCAAAATGTTTTTGGCGCCTCCGTCTATCTTTTCACAGGTGCAATCACTAGTACAATTTCTGTTAAGCTTGGCTGCCGAAAGCATGGGTGGCAAAACAAAGTCCAGCAAAAGTAAGGTGAGTTTAAACGCAAACACGTGAATACCAGTCTTCATATTTGATTAAATATATATAATATTTTCAACATCTGCTAGATGTTCACATAATTTTCAAGAGTTGACACCTGTTGAAGGAAAAATTGGCTGATCAATTAGTCACGATTCGTATCCATCTAATTAAGCCGTGATAAAAGTAAATCCCTTTTGATGTTGCTCTTTTAATGATTATTCCAATTTTTCATAGAAATCCTGACATATAGAGTCCACTGACAGTGCAGAATCTCACAACATAACTGTTATAATGAAAATCAGAAAATGGACTTAACCCATTTCAACTCCACAATAAGATATCTGCTATACGTATGTGTGGGAAGAGATATTGATTTCTGTTAGCCATCCATACTCTCGGATACCGGTACCTTTAAATGATGTTTCGCAGCTACAGGTGCGATGATTTCCAATGGCCCGATTCATTTATTAATTGGAAGCTGAATGTAGTTATGTTTTATTTATTTTCAGTATAAAAAATTATATTGGCGGTGTTTTCACTGAAGGAATTCATTATGAATTCGCCAAGGAGCATTTGTTGCACTTTGTGCCGAGGTCGATCGCAAGTTCATGTTGGTCATGATAAAAGCGTAAATAAGAAAAATGAATAAATAAACAGAAGCAGGTAGTCTTAGAAATCATATTACGTCGGCGTATTGTAAGTGTTGAGATACCCCCCCCCCCCCCCCCCCAAAAAAAAAATAATAATCCTTTAGTATATATCAATATCAAATAATACCTGAAGAATGTCGAAAGGATTTTTGTTAATTACCTTATAAATTGAAGAAATACAGTTTTTGTAATAATGAAACGTTTAGACCACAGGCTTTTGGATCGCTTGAAAAAAAAAATTGTGTGTAAAAAAAAAATAAAGGTACTGAACTCTTACACCGGGTACCAAATTGCTCTGATAAAATATTTTTTATGCACATGCTTTAAAATTCTACTTTCTATTTAAATGCATTCATAGATAAACATTCTTCATTTCTACCAAAGCTCATTCCGAAATTCCGTATTTTTTCTCGAGATATTCTGAAATCAATCTCAAAAATGACCTACTTTTTTTTACTCGACATTAGCTTGGGCCCCTAGCCATTCACATGTAAACAGACGGTGTTTGAAGTGCAGCGAAGAGTTGCATAGTATTTGCAAGATCTTTCAGCATTTAAAAGTTGATTTCTTACTCCGGATTGTAGGGTTAAGTCCGTATTAATTCCTTTCGCGAAAAATTAACTTGAAAACGTCTGCATCAACAACTACACCGCCATGTTGATTATGAATGTAAAAGAAGCCATGGTCGAACGATTTATTCCTAGAATGCAGTATATACCTTTCGATTTTCAAAACAATTAGACCGCTAAAATGTTGTTTGTGACTAAGTAAGTTAAATCATATTATCAAATTAGAGAAAATCCATGTAAAGCTCGAATGCAAATGAGCAAATATTTATTGAGCTTAGAATAAACTCCGGGGAAAATTTGTCCCGTCGTTCCCGCTTAGAAATTAGTGTAGCCCTCAGATGGCCCAAGCTGATGTCGAGTAAAAAAATTTAGGTCAATTTTGGAATTGATTTCAGAATATCTTGAGAAGTATAAGGAATTAAGGAATGAAATTTGGTAGTAATGAAATTTGTTTATATATGAATAGATATGGATAAAAAGTAAAATTGTAAAGCATCTGATTTAAAAGAATTTTATTGGCGAAAGTTGGTACCCTATGAAAAGAGGCGAAAAGAGTTCCGTACCTTTATTTTTTTTTCAACACCTCAATTTTTTTTCTAAGCGAACTTAAGGCCTGTGGTTTAGACCTTAAAAAAAACTGCTAGGTCATTTTAGTTATCTATTTCTGAAAAGAAAGCATGTATACCATTAATTTGCAGTGGTGGATTCAGAAATTTTGAAAAAGGGGGGGGGGCACTCTCCTCTAAATCCGCAAGTGCTGCATGTATGCCATAAAATAATATAAGAAGGAAACGTGGATTACTATTGATAAACTGAACTACAGTACTTGTCCTCTTTTATACATTGTTATAAATATTACATGTACTTAAAGATAAACAGTACTTCCAAGAACTTTTTGTTCCGCGTTGTACACATACTAATGTTCGCTATGTACACTCCTACAAAGAAAGTGGGCACACTAGATTGGCATTCGGCAGGAATCACTGACACGAAACAATTCAGGTTTAAATGTCCAAGCACCGCGTTGTACTTTTACATATATGTTATACAATAAACCTAGATACTTTATGGGAATAGATTTCTGGATTACTGTTTATTTGTTTATTTGATTTTAATTGTTTCAATTAAAAACCTTCTCGAAAGATAAATTGTCTATGCTGGATACATTTAATAAAATATAATAAAAGAAAAACACTAAATAATGTTTATGCTCCCTTTTCATATTCACTGAAAATATTGAATGTAACAGAACAAAGTTGCTAGTTTTTGAAATATATTCAGTATTTTTCATCAGGTGCAACTTTGTGCTTACAAGTACAATTGTCACATGATGTATGGTTATTTGGAGCTAACATTATAAATGACAGAATCAGAACGCATTGAAAAAATATAACATTGTAAAATAATTTGTAAAATATATTTTGCATCATTTTTTTCAACGGGTAATTATATACTCCCAAATCAATAATTTCAAGAAAAAAAATTAATTTAAAAAAATTACTTCCCCGTATTCGAACCTAAAACGCTACGTATATGTTACACAGTTCCAGCGCCAAACCAATGTAGCTAACCGAGACAGTAAACATAGTGTTTTTAAATTGTTATTTGAAGTCACAGTTCAATACACTTGGACTTAGTCAATTTTCTCTCCAAAATTAAGTGAAAAAGTTAAGATTTTGATGCTTCTGGGTCGTCTCTCCATTTTTTAAACAACTGGAATAAATTTTATGGTTAAAAATACACTGATAACGCATGTCAAATTCATGGAGAGAAGACCCAGAAACAACAAAATAATTAAAAAAAACTGCTTTAAAAGAGCCGATTTTTGCATCTCTTGATTCGTACGGCTATATTCGGGTGCATGTTTAGATGAAATCAAACATATTCAACCGAACATTTGCCCATTTTACATTCATCTACAACACTGTCAATGGATAGGTTTTGAAAAAAATGCAATAATCAATAATATTTTTATTCTTTTTATGTGCCACTATTCCTGCCGAATCGCCATCTAAAGCGCCCACTTTCTTTTCCGTAGAATATTTCCTATCTTACTAATACACGCATATTGTGAGTGTCTAAGAAATCCGCCTAATTTTCTACCTGCGTTTAAACAGAAATAGATATTCCACGGAATTATGAACCCATGGGAAAAAGTACGTCTACAGTATTTAAAAACAAGAGGCCCATGGGCCTTATAGGTCACCTGAGCATTATGCAACAACTTTCCAGTGATTGAATTTGATTCATGTTTTAAGCCAGATGATATGGCAATCACAATTTTGAAAGAGGCACCATTGATCATCATAACAAATGAATACACTTAGCAATTGCTTAGTTTGATTACTTAGGGGAAGACCATTTGATTCTCATGAGGGGGGGGGGGGGGGGGGGGGGGGGCTGGCAAATTTTTTTGAGACGGATTATTTATTTTCATGCCTGTCAAGGACAGATTATTTATTTTCAAGGTCACCGAGGACAGATTATTTATTTTCTTCTTTGTCTTACGGCACCTTGATCGATTGATTCTAAAAGACTAATCATTTATATACCATAGGCGGATTCAGGATGGGGGGCGTGTATAACTTCGTTCAGGAAAGAGGCCTGGGGCCGCCTTAAGGCCCCCAGTGGGTCCTGGGCGAAGCACTGGTGGAGGCCAACGGAAGGAAATTCCCCAGAATCTCTTGGGTTTTCGGGTAGTTTAAGATAAAACCAGGACAATTATACGTGTAGTGGTATTGGTTATTATGTACCAAAGTATGACATTATTAATATTGGTCATGTCATACTTTGAATGAAGGGGGTCCAGGGGGTGAAGCCCCTTGAAGCTCGTGGGTTTTTGTGTATTTTCAGAGTAAAACCAACTGGCACAATTATGTAGGAATTGGTTAGTTATGTTCCAAAGTATGACATAATTAATACTAGTCATATCATACTTTGAATGAAGGGGGCCCAGGGAGCGAAGCTCCCTGAAGCTCTTGGGTTTTTGTGTATTTTAAGAGTAAAACTAGGCACAAAAATATTGGTAATTAGTTAGAATGATCTAACTGTGTCTCGGTACAAGCCCTCACCACAGTTAGAATACGTCCCATATACTTGCAATGTAGCAAATCGGAGCGGATCCCCTCCGAAACGATTTTGAAGAAAATAAAAGGATTTGCACTGGAAATAACTACCAAATTAATCAAAACAAACCTTTTTGAGATTGCTTATGCCTTTTATCCCAGAAAATAATCCATCTAAAGACGAAAATCCAATTAATTTTCTCAACGTTTTTCTCTCGCTTCAAATTTACCTGCCATGTTTAAATTCCGAACTCTCTAGATTGTTCGTAGTAAATGCACTGAGTTATAGTGTGTACGAGTTATCGCCCATGTTTCTTTTGCTACATTACGAATACACGGAACGAATTCTATCGTTAAACCGGGTCCGTAGGACAATATCATTTTAACGATAGAACATTCTATCTAATTGGTATTGTACTAAAGTATGGCAATTATTAATATTATTCATATCATACTTTGAAATTTTAGGGGAGGGGTCATACACATGTACGCCTTCCTTTAATCCGCCACTGTATACCGGGTACTTTGTATCAATTTATCGGGATGTATACTTCTTTGACAAGAAAATTTATCGTTTGTGGTGTTTAAGAACTGGTTGTAAAAAGTGATTCATCACACCTACTGAGTGCACATTGCCATGCTGATCAACTGACTAACAAGTATCCAGTCTAGTAATCTGATTTTAAATACTATTTAGTTCTAAGATGGCGAGCGAAGCGAGCCAAAAAAATGCTGAATTGAAGATTCTGAGGTTAATTACACG